TCCGATATTCTACTGTGCATGAGAGCAAGGTGTTTATGAAATGAACTTTTCAGAGGATGCCCGGAAGGAAACTACCATTGATTGTGCGAATTCCTATGGGAGATGAAGCTATCCGCTTCGAGAATTGCTCCGCCAGACCGTGTCAGTGTCTTTTTTTGTAAAGATTTGTGCATTTTGATTTAAACTGTGTTAACTATCTGTATTGTGTGTTTTTTTTCTTGTTTCTGTTAGTTCATTAAAATCTAGAAACAAATTTTTGTCTTATTTGCATAGCTCCTCCTACATCTAGGGTATAACGGTTGGATATCACTAGCTTTATATCACATATGTGATATTTAATATATCACAACACTTTTGTTGATATGAGAAATACACCCTTGTGAAGATCAAAGAAAAATTTGTCGGTCATGGGATAACTATAAATAATCACCGAGTACGATGCACTTAATGTTTAATTTTTAAGCGAAAAACTCTAGTTAAAATGGCTTTATATGTATGTGCTTTTGAAAAGTCTGTCCACCGCTTTTCAATTCGTCATTGTTGTCATCTTCAGACCCCCTATTGCCACATAGTCGATCATATGATATGTCCTATTTAACCGAAAAATGAAAGGGCGAGGCAAACAAATATTAGCTGCATTATGTTTCAGTTTCTCCTTATCTACATGTATCTTTACTTTCTGAAAAAAAGGCATGCATAAACAGTTAGAAATATTCATTGAACTTTGAGATTGAATACTGTTCGTTATCTGCAAATCCTTCATTCAAGTTATTCAAGGAAAATAAACACTGGTGTATTTCCTCAATTCCTCGAAAATTATAAATAACCGAGAGGGTTGCCAAAAAATGAGCATCACTTTCTGAAAAATATTCTGAAAAATAAAGAATTTAAGTTAAAAAAAACATACTTTTTTTATTGTCACCTTACGCTTACACTTTCCAATTAAAGAAATGAAATGTTGGTATATACAATCCAAATATAGTTTTCAACCGCATCATTGACTCAGGATGTGAGATAACTCTTTAGTACTTGATGTAGAAGGGCTGGGAGGATATATTGATATATCGAGGTATCTGTTAGGACGATACGCATATCGATACATATTAAGAAATATCGAAATATCGCCAAAATGAAATCTTACTTCTGTTTTCTTTGTTTATTTAACAGTTGGCTTTATTATCTAAAATAGGTTAGATAAATATAAATATATTACTGAAATAATTAATAATTAACACCACTTGAGTAAAATACTGTTGTTTAACAACATATATTCAACTTTTTTGAAAAAAATATTCTTATTTGGAAAGAAATAATTTGTCTATTGAAAAGCAAAGAAAGACTTAATAAGCAATTTAACATATCATGATACATATCGTATCGTGACTCAAATATTGTGATACGTATCGATTTAGAAAGAGTATCGTCCAAACCCTATGATGTAGTTTGCTTACCTTGTAAATTTTAAACAAAAAGCATGTGCATTGCGCTAGACTGTATTCGACTTAATCAAACTGGTATGTGTAATAAGTCCTTGACATTATTTACTTTTAGTGTCTCCATTCTGTATTTGTAATATGTATGTGTTGCAAAATGTCTTTAACACCCACCGAATTTCCTCAGAGACATGTTCACATGTAGATCTGAACTTTTCTGTAGCATCCATCATATAAAACTCTTATGGTTGACGTATTTTAAATAGAAATACTGTAAACTAACTATTATTCGCGATTTACCAGGGAAAAATTGGTTCGCGGCGATTAATTATTGCGATCATGCCTTTCTTGGATTTGTTTTAATAGACACATACACTAAAATAACAGGTTCGCGGCGAGAAATATTCGCGATGGCGAGGCTCTCGTGAACTTCACGAAAATTTCTCGCACGCGAATAAAAATTGGTTTACAGTACATTGTACATAATCGTTATTTATAGTTAATTAATAACCTTCATCAACAATAAATTAAATAGCCAAACTCTCTCTCTCTCTCTCTCTCTCTCTCTACATACATTTGTACACTGGCGCCACAGGTACTTGTGGACAGTACACCCCCCCCCCCCTCAATTATCAATTTATCAATTTAGGTCAATTAACAATTTAGGTCAACAAAAAAACACAAATAAAGTACTGTTATATAAAATATATACATGTATCCAGATTTAACGTGATGTCAATGCCATATACGTTTGTGCACTAAACATTTCATAACAAATAAATGCAGAAATAAAGAGATGACATATATTAAGACATAGCGTTTATATCAGTTGTAATGTGACTTACATATTGCATAAGACAAAAAAATCTAACGATGCTTACCTGGATGTACAACATATACAGAACAGAATCAGATAAAACTTTATACTCACATGACATATTTCCTTGTCACTACAAAAGTTTTCTACAGATGCATTTTTGCAATGTCAATAACTTTAATGATCTCGCTACGGACATAAATAGCACATCGTCAGAAGAGCAAAGCAAAAAATATTGTAATAAATTACTAGTAATTAACTTTAATCTCTGTCTTTTACGTGTAACATGCATGAGTTAATCAAAATTTTACAGTACCTCTTAAGAAAATATTTACAGTGGTGTGCAAGTACCCCTCATATCGGGGTGAGGTTTGGGGGGTTGCATTTTTCACTTCCCAACGCAGTTGATACAATTAAGAATACATTACATGCACCCCTAGCACAATTCAGTTAAAAACACATTCTACAGTATATTCACACAAAATATTTTTCAGCTCATCCTTCTTAATCAATCACCTGTGTCAGTAAAACATATTACATATATGCACTTTTTATGCTGTTATGACGCCGTGTCTGTGTAGTTCATAGAAGTAACAATAGTAACTACAATTGAAATGATTTGATATTTCACAAAAAGTCTGATCCCTTGACGACCGAACTTGTTTTCAAAGTATAAAGTATCTGACGTAGTGAATATTGATTTTCGAAGAAAAATTAGCATTCCATTTAAAAGGATAATTCAGCAATACTTTGTTGTTGTTTTTTAGCACAATAATGGCGAATTCCAAATACAGCTCCGCGAAAGAGAAAACAAACTCCTTCCGTTTATCTAGGTTATTAGTGGATCCATGTACTGATCTTTTTAGGGCCATTCTAAGGGATCGTATTACAGAAATACAGTTTCCATGCATTCTTCAAAAGGTAAAAAATTCTTTAGCCCATTTCTTATACAAAGACCAAAGAGAAATACTTTATCCTAAATCCGGTTTCACTGGAACTTATGAAGAATTTGACTTATCCTTATTATACATTTTGCTAAGAAATATATCTGGAATAAGTCCTCACCAAAACGGATGGGGTAAATCACCTGATCCGTTAGATCGATCCCTCTCTGCTAACATAGACCGAGTCAGGGAAACCCGAAATACACACTGTGGACATGTACCCTGTGTTTCCCTTACTGATGTAGAGTTCCAGAAACTTTGGCAAGACCTTACTGTCATTATCAGTGAACTCGAATGCAGTCTTCCTGGAGGATGTACGACATTCACTAATGCTGCAAGGATGATTAAAACTGATACCATGGATCCTGAACAGCAGAAAAAGTTCCTGGATATAATTGATCAACAACATCGCAATACAGAAGATTTGAAAGGTATCTTAATAGAATGAGGATGTAAATGAGAGAATTAGCAATTAAAAATTGTTCTCAAATAATAAAACATTCTTTCAAAGTATATGTACATCAGCATGGTCGAAATAAAGCTAAAAGGAAATCACATTTTTTTTAACCTCTACTGTTCAAAGATTAGAAGAAATTGTGCATGGGCACGGTGTCCATCCCCCTTTCATTCACTATATATTGTATTGTCTGTATAAACGAAAACATTCTTTTAAATGCTGCTTGTCGTAAAGATTTTGTAAATGTCCGTTATCAATAGAACTAATGGCACACAAGTAGAGTACACTTGGATAAACACCTCTTTTTATCCGTATTTATTTTCGATGAAGGGTGTTGACATGGTAAGTAGAATAGAAATTTCTTTAAAATTCTATAAAAATGTTAACTCACCTACAGATTGAAATCATTAATGTGACTTAACAAACTGTGTAATGAATTAACATACATAATTCTGTACGTGAATATTTCGATGAGTCTTGTCATTCTACGGAAAATGGAAGTTTCTTTCAAATTCTTTCAAAACACCGATTCTCCTACAGTTTTGGTCCGATATCAATATTAATTGGAATTCACTTAGACTACACTTAGCAGTCTTATATACCCTTTTCTTATTCAGTGGATGGGGTCAGGTTTTTACCAAATGCGTGTATACGATTTTTTTATTTTGATGAAAATTGTTGGCATGGTTACTAAAAATAAGAATCCCCTTAAAGTTCTTTCAATCGCCTGCTTTCCCTACAGTTTTAGTCTGATTGCAATAAACCTTACCACAAAACTGAGACAAAATCAGGGATCATTACTGTATTTATAGCTATTGCATAGTTTCAAGTAAAGTGTTACGGTACAGTTTTTGTCATCTTGTTTTTCAATCACTCAGTATGATAACGGTGTTATTTATTTCTGTATTCAAAATTTTTGTCGATTAATCTTCTTTTTTCCACACATGAATTAATCTCTAATTTATAACTATTTTAAAGGGGTTACACAGGAGTTGAAAAAAGAACAGTCTAAAATCATACAACAAGGGGAAAAACGAAAATCAGAACAACTTAAACAAGAAAAGGAAATTAAAGAATTGAAAAACAAGCAAAAGAAACAAGGAACTGAGATATCGAAACTGAAGCATGAACAAAAAAGGCAGAGGACACAGTTTCATTTCCAGTATAAGATGGAGAGAAATGTACCAAAAAGTATAACAAATAAAATTATTTATCGTTTATAAATGTAGAGTCGTTTCTGTTATATCAAAGATTCATTGTCCTCAATTTGTTAATTTGTGAGATAAAAGAGAGAGGAAAAAACTGAAATTAGATTTTGACTAACTATTTATTTATTTCTTCAAAACAGAAATGCTCTCAGATCACGAAAGAAAAAATATCATCCGTAAGTATGTAGCCAAATTATAATTTATACAAAACTCTACAGAAAAATTATCTTTCTACGTGAAAGGAAACGAGAAGACACGTTTGCATTGTAATCTCGACACATTTACATTTTAGCTTCATAGAATTTATCTGATACTTTAAAACAAAGGCTTGAAACTAATATTTTTCACAATTCTTTTTTTCTAATTTTAAGAAAATACATTAGCTGCTCTGAAAGGTCAGAAGCTTAAAAAGGTGAGCGTAAGAATATCAGGTGTACAAACCACTATAGACAAACTAAGAGCCAACCATATAGCTATTCTCACGGGGAAAGCAGGAGCTGGGAAGACAACTACAGTGTACCAAGTCATGTGTGAGATGTCAAATCCTTCATTATCATCTACCTACACACCCGTGTTGATAAAATCTCCAGAACAATGGGATAAAGTTATTAATCCTACTCATCAATATCTCGTTTATTTAGATGATGTTTTTGGTTCATCAAATCTAGATCCTGGTGCAATTCAGAAATGGAAAAATCAACTTGATATAATATTTTCAAGTGCAAAAACTGGGAAGATTTACGTGTTGATTGGACTCAGAAGAAACGTATTAAATGAGGCAAAAATGCATGTAATACATGAAATTCTTGATGAAGAAAATATAGTCGACCTTTCTTTAGAAGAAAATCTTACGAAACAAGATAAATCAAAAATAATAGAAGCTTATGAATGCAATTGCAATTTTAAGGCCTCAGAGCTATGTGGTGAACGTTTTGCCTATTATTCAGAGAAAAATGGTTTGAATGCAATATATAAACTCTCTCTAAAAGAGAAGGAGAAGATACATTTTACCGATTCGTATTACGGATTCCCTTTAACATGTTTTCAGTTTTTCACTAGACCAGACTTTTTTCAGCTTGGTCCTTCATACTTTCAACGTCCTGATAAAAACATTTTTAAAGCAATAGAAACAATGCGACAAGGAAAATGTGGAAACATAAGTGATAAAGTAAAATATAGTGTTTTATGTTATACATTTATTAATGGGAGCGTGGAAACAAATATTGTGTCTGAGACTTTGCTCAAAACTATTTCTGGAAAATTACATATCTTTAATATCACTGAAGTTGATTTGAAAGATGCAATTAATGACTTAAATGGTATTTTTTTGTCAAAATCAAGCACTGAGCACTTTTATAAATTTTCACATGAAACTATTCTCGAGGCGGTTATGGTGTCATTTGGACAACTAGCTCCAGATATTGTGATAAATCATTGTAGTCGAAGGAAGTTACATGAGTTGATCCGCACGGAAAACTATGAGCCTAAACCTTGTGAGGTTATTCTAAAGATTCCAAGACGTCACTATGAGGATCTGGCACAGAGACTACTACGTGGTGATGATGGTGACGGTAAAGAAATTGATATTATACCATTTGTAGCCATAGATATCTTGCTTCATTCAGGATGTCAGGACCCGGAGTTCGTGTCTATTCTGTGCAATTGGGAAATGACAGAAAGGTTGTTTTCTTTGTTCCATTATCTGCTATTCACAAATCGGGACTTAATTTTTCATCTCTTGCAGTAAAATGTGTTGTTCAGGGAACTTCTAGAATGTTATGGTCCCCATCATACTAGACAGATGAGTGAGCCTAAGTTTGAAATAACTGCTAGGTATATAGGGAACGTGCTTGCAGATTTCTTTTTGCTTTATGATGAAAAAACTACATTAATGGCAATATTACCATATATCTGCAAGTACTCTGATCTCTCTGATCTACCGGGCCTTTGTGATGCACTGTATGCAAGTTATGACGGTTTGACCTCTCTTCATTTTTGTATTATTCAAGGATGGGAGGACTTGGTGAATATGATACTGAAAGTACACATACCGACAAAGGCAAAATACAATTGGTCATGTGTTCACTTTGCTGCTTTTGCTGGAAGGTCATCTTTATTAAAAAAGTTTATAAATCTTGGCCAAGATATAAGAGAAAAAAAATCAGAAGGTTATTCTGTTTTGCAAACAGCTTTACTAGGACTCAGATATGGACATCAAGAAGCTTTTTTCGACCTTCCAGGTGACTTTGGATGTATTAGACTCTCAGTTCCAGAAAGTAAAGAATTTGAAAATATGATTAACATTTTACTAGAAAAAGAGAATCAATGTATGAGTCTTGACATATCTTTTGTCGTTGATGAATATGAAAATAGTATCATACATTATATTATAATGCATAACTATGGTGATATTATAGATTGCCTCCTGAAGTACGACAAAGAATTTGCATTTTGCCGTAATAGCAGTAGTCTGCCGACGGCATTACACGTAGCTGTGTATCTAGGTAGACCAGAGATGGTTAGAAAATTGTGGGAATTGGGAGTACGTCCTGGTGACAATGATATGTCTCTCATGGAAACATGTCTTAACGGAGAAAGTTTTTGCATGAAAAGGTTAAGCTATAGCAAGTTCAGAGAAAATGGCAGAGGTTATGATAAAGAAGTTTCCTGGAATGATGGGAACAATGGGATTCTAGGTGTGAAACTTAAAGCGATAGAACAAGTGAACGTGGTCTTCGGAAACACTGAAGAATTCCAAAACGTACACGAATTTCTCTCCAATAAATAGGAATTATCACCATAGTAATGAAAACTGTCAGGCTTTTGCTATTTCGAAATTGTATGTACAATACATATGATAAATGATATTTACCAGATATCACAATGTAATGTAGCACAAATTGATATGTATATAAGTTTGAATTGGTGCATGTGTTTGGATTAAATGACTTAATGATGTTTATAATTCCTGAGATACATGACATGAACCAAAATTAAAAAATAATAAAATAATGTATGAAAACTGTCCAAAAAAATGGAAAAAAAAATCTTGGAATAAATATTTTTGAGATGATCCTGTTTTTTTTTTTATAATTATAGTTATAATTATCATTTATAAAGTATTGCAATGCTTTCAATACTAAAACTACCCTGAATTTTTAAACACACATATTAAGACACAGGCACATGGAGTATGCTCCCCCTTCAGAGAAATAGAGTATATTATGTCTCAATCATTTCCATATTTCGTTTTCTGCAAACAAATTGTACTTTTTCTCACGCACGGTTTGATAAAAATACACAAGGTGGGGAAAAACCTGGGAAATTTTGCCACGGCTCCATATTGTTTTCTAATTGGTTGAAAAGATAAAGCAACAGAATCATTGCTGTTAGCGAAAAATAATAATATATTAGTAAATGAATTTTAAGATTTACTTAAATATTTTTATGTACATTGGAATGCTCTGAATGTAAAAGTTATCGCGCTTGCATTATCCTTGGAAAGTTTTTGGCATGTACAAATAAGGAGAGGCAGATGCAAACGATCCTTGGGAATGGGAACATTTAGTAAACGCCCAATGAAAATCGTGCGTGCTTAAAAATCTGGACCCGGTCGTCCAGATAGCGTCATTTTTCAGTTTCTTTTAGGACGCTGTGAAAGGTACATGTGTGTTGGATAGCTTTAATTTTTTTAAGCTGTAAGGAAACGCATTTGTTTTTCCTCATACAAATTAATCGTTTTATTTATCTAACAAATTGTTGTCCTTTAAAAAAGGACTGGAATACGTAGACCATACGCAATGTGTTTCTGACCGAAATTCAATTTAAGAAAATTTCTAGGTGTACAGTAGTAAATATTCAAATAGGATTGTTCACATTTTCTACAATGATCTGCCTAAAAATGACTGATTGTAGTCTCAAAGCAAAACTGTTATTTTATCTCCGATTAGACTTTTGTCAGTTTAAAAAAATCGGGCTATTTTGATACATATAATCCATAATGGCTAGGACTTGACACCTACATGTATTCTGGATTTATACGGTAGAAATATATCATGCAGAAAATAGATCTGATGGTATACGTGTAGCACATCTCTGTATTACGTTTTGTTCTTTTTTCGTAGCTTAGCCCCTAGCTCCCCAACATTAAAAACCGCTGCTACAGACCTACTTGGTCTATTAAACCGTATTTGGATTGCTAAAATATCAAATTATTTTGCGAATCTTGATGTACAAAACAAATGCCAATGAAAACTTCTTTTAAAAGCTAGAACTAGTCGTTGGGTAACTTTTTTTTTCAAATTGTTAATTTAAATGTATCTATGTACTGCAATTTTTCCCTACCCTTTAAAATCCTTGTGTCATGGATTCAATGTTTAATTTGTATTAAAATATATGTATTAGAGAGACATTTGGATCCGCCAATGAATATATAAATACGATATGCGGATTTAAAAGCGCAATTTGCCAATGAATGGCATATTGTAATTCGAATAGGGCGAATTATTCTACGGGCAAGTTGACTAAGCGGCAAACTCTCAAGCATTCTCGAGCATGCGTAGCCTGTCGTTTGCCCATGGCATCCGGTTTAACCTCGCTTATATATTTACTGGGTGGACCTCAGGGAAAGTAGCGATAGTAAGCCTGACTGTAGGAAACGGAAATATAATGTTTTCATTCTTAAATAATTGTAACAATATTGATTATTTATTTTGCTTTCACAAACATTGGCTAAAATAAATTTAATTTGGCAATAATTTCTATTAGAGGGCCTTCGTTTTCGATTATCTAGGTTGAAGCCTTTGTGGACAGTACTGGCCACTTATATTTTACATGTGTAGGTCAATATGACCTCACTGCCTTCATTGCGGAAGTTATAAATTATTTTGGATGGCTAAAGCCATTTCTATGCTATCTAAAGTGTACAAGATTTCAACTTTTGTCCGATAGAGAGTAGATGCATAACGCATAAATAATAATGATTTATATAATATAAATAAAAAGAAAAATGAAATTTTTGTTGATACGATGATCCAGTTATGAAATTGATTATTAACTCTGCTTGTTTCTTATAATCAAGAAACGCTCATTTCTTTGTTGAGAAATTATATGTTTTTATTAAATGTACATGTACTTACTCAATTAATTAATTAATTAATTTGTTTATTCATATACTAAACTATTGATCGATCTATTAAAATCTATAATTTTTTTTATTTCTTATTTACTAGTATTTTACCTCAGTTAGATCAACACTAGTTGTTTGAATTTCTTGCGGACAATATTGTATTAAAACTCCTCTGTCGAGGTTTTCCTCCCTAGAATCAACACAAGTTGTTTGTGTTTCTTGCGGACAATATACATGTAACAACCTCCTCTTTTGAGATTTTCCCCATTGGGATCAACACAAGTTGTTTGTGTTTCCCGAGGACCATATTGATTAAAACTCCTCTATTGCGGTTTTCCTCATAAGGATCAACAGAGTTGTTTGTGTTTCCTGAGGACAATATTACAAACTCCTCTATTGAGGTTTTCCTCATTGGGATCAACACAAGTTGTTTGTGTTTCCCGAGGACAATATTGATAAAAACTCCTCTCTAGAGGATTTCTTTATAAGGATCAACCAAGTTGTTTGTGTTTTTGACAAACATGTCAAAGGGATTGGACACAAGTTTTTTAAACTTACTCAACACAGTTAAGGTAACGGTAAGGAGGTGGTGCCTAATTTGTACGGGAAATGTTTACTATGACGTCACACAAAATATAGGGTCTTCAAAATGCCACAAAATGAAATTATTTGCTATTTCAAACTACTGGATAGTTGTAGACTACATAAACACTTATTATTACAAGCTCTTTATCATTTGTTAAATCCCACACAACAATATTAAACAATGCATCGATCGCAATGCACTTGTCAATGTGACGTCATCTCGCAAAAATGACGCAGATTGTATACAGTAAGAGGCTGATCAAATCACATTTTGTACAATGAAAAATGTCTTTTGTTCTCAAATAAAATATCATTTACAATTATATAAAAGCCCGTTTACTTGGATTCCATGTCTATTTTACAATTTTATTCATATATTGTCCGTATATTCTCCAGATAAGTGATACCGTCGTGTGTTTGTATGCAGATTCATTGAAAAAGTAACAGAGGGTCCCTAATAAATCGCAAGGGCATACCCTCAATATATCTTGCCAAGTTTTTACACATAAACCCAAGAAGCATTAAACTATTTGAAAAACGCTGCGAACCTCCAGAAATCTTCCAAATGAATTAATTATAGCCATGTTTAACCACCATCCCCGCAATCACGCATTTTAACGCATATACCGTTGCCCCGCAATCACGCATTTTAACGCATATACCTTTACCCCGCAATCACGCACTTTAACACACTTTTCGTTTTTGGCGTTTTTTGCTCTGATAACGCGTAAAGTTTTGATGGTATGTTAATAAATGGTTAGATAATAAATTTTGTAATTCCATTCTAATATCTTTCGCAAATAATAATATTTTTTCTCAATTTAATATGTTAATAAGTTAATTATTATATATAAGTTAACTCGTGACTGTATTCAAAGGGTAGTGCAGGTGGTAAATACCACGTAGATACATGCATGTATTAGGAGCAATGTATTTGAGTGCTTTGTTACAACGCACTTTGAAAAATTACGCACTTTGAAAAATTTTTTCAAAGTGCGTTAAAATTTGGGACCAAGCTAACGCACTTTGAAAAAAAATATTTTTTTTCAAAGTGCGTTGATATCGACCATATTAACGCACTTTGAAAAAATGTAAAGATTGATCAATATTCTTTCAAATAATCGGTATGATAAATAACAGATCCTGGTTTAATAACTTTTTTATGATAAAGTCACTGTAGGACCTGAGATATTGACGTTTTAAATATTTAAAGTTTTGATAAAATAAAAGGGAAAATTAAAGGGTCTTGAAAAAAAGAGTGACGATTCTTTAAGTTCATTAATTCGTGTCTTCTTTTTTTTTTAATTCTAGTCTTTGACAAGTAGATGTTAAAGGTGTATAGGGGGCACTAACAGAGGACAGCTTCAAGCAACTTAGCATTTATCATAAATTCATGATAAAAAGGGGCCAATTTGTTTGTTCAAAACTATGAAAATTCTTTCTCTCTCATACGTTTTACTGTACTTAAAGAATTATAGTTTTCATCTGTTTTGATTAACTCATTTATTATTGAAAGTTTTCAAAGTCATACCAGTTAGGTAAATACATAATTATATGAATGCTTTGAGTATAGCATAGACATCGAGACTGGGCGAAGGGCCAGGGGAGGGGATGGGGGGCTAAGCACCCCCTCTTATTTTGGAAAGTTATATACATCGTATAAACATTGAAAATATCCTTTCTAGGTTTATTGCTCCCCTACCCCGTTTGTTACCGACACCTATGTATTGGAAATTAAAGATTTGGGATCTTATGCCCTTCTTCTCCTCTTTTCGACGGGAGTAAATCAATTCATTTTTGAGGTTAGGGTTAGGCTTAATTTTTGAAAGAAAAATAACAAATAAAATCTTTCCATGAATAAAATAAGTTTTTTTTTCAAAGTGCGTTAAGTGTCTCCATGGTAAAATATATTGATGTAGACTCTTAACGCACTTTGAAAAATTTTTTCAAAGTGCGTTGATTTTGTCCCAAATTTAACGCACTTTGAAAAAATTTTTCAAAGTGCGTTGATTTTGTCCAAAAAATTACGCACTTTGAAAATTTTTTTCAAAGTGCGTAATTTTTTCAAAGTGCGTTGCCACAGTGCTTAAAACTCCATTCTTCATTTTTTCGGGGAGGGAGGAGGTTACACATCTTTGACCAACAG